TCGTCTAGGACTCTGATTATAGAAAATATCGTCTTAGCCTTTGATTACAGAGATCGTCTAGGTTTTCATCTTTAGACCCACCTTGTGGATTGAGTGTATCATGATCACTTCCAGAGTGATGGGGGCAGGGGGTTCACATTAAACAAAATTGGTCATCACTTAAGTTTAAAAAAAAGCTCAGAATGATGAAAAACTGCACGATTTTAAATAAATTTTGGAGAAAGGCGTTCTTGAACCCCCCCCACCCCCTTCTCTGACTAGGGGTCTGACTTTGTCAAATGTCATGGAGGTCGCAATTATATTCATAGAAAAGCATAAATTAAATAACTTCCCCACATTTTTACGTCTTTGCCTCTCTATGTTTGATTTTTATTTTCTTATCCCTCAGGAAAAAAACTAAAAATAGAAGGACATGTGATTTGATCGTATATCCTATACCCCAAAGGTCTCAAAAGTTTTAAATTATTTTTGAAAAACCTCTACCACAGAAATAACACCGGAGGAGATGGAAATGACTTTGAGCCTTGCAAGTTAATGTTTCAAAAGTACACAAGCGTTTGCGTGTATACTTCGCGTGGCTAAAGTTCTAAACTAACTGTCAAAACAAAACAAAGAATGCAATTTTATTGGCGATCATGCACATGCTCTCTTCGAGAGCTTTACCATACTTAAGTCAATTATCAGCAAACTTTATGAATTAAAATCAATTGTAGGCTATATGGAATAAGCTAACTCCTGTTAAAGATTAGTATAGACAAAACACATAGATAGAACAAAAAGTCCTTTGAAAAGTATATCAAAATGAAAAATGGATAATAAATATTTCAAACATATAAATCCGCTTATTAAAGAATAACAATTAACACAACTGGGAAAAATGTTCATGCCTTATAATCAGCCATATCGATGCAGATAAAACCGTCTAGATAGAACAAGTAACAATAACGAAAACAATTAGCAGATCCATGCCAATTAATTAATTATCGGACTTTGGATTTTTCTTAGTTTATACTCGCTTCAACAACTGCGCACCCCTCTCTTGTCAGTAAACACAGGTCGGAAGAAATCATCATGAGATTTTGACATTGTACTTTCATCAACTGTAACATAAAGACCGGCGTGTTATAATCTTGACGACTCATTTAACCTGCCATATATTGCCCGTGTTGTCGTAATTTTCAAATTTGATAAACAATTTTCGAAACCGTATTTTTAGATGTACTTTTTCATGTAGATTTCAAATTATGACATCACTTTGACTGAATTTTGAATATTTAATGACGTAAATCAAAATTATTTCTACTCGCATCTAGTCTACCTTGTATTTCAAGGGGAATCTGTGAAACAGAATACAAATATTATACGATATATTAAGAAGGGAATGATAAAGTATGTAAAATTCCTGCTGAATATACAGTATGCATGTATGAATCTGGGAAATCTCTCGGTGTATCGAATGTTACGACGATCGGAACATTCACTGGTTTAATCCAGGAGGTTTAATCTCCCGACGTGATATACAGCAAGTACTCCCGGGCAAGTACAATCCTTTGGAATACCAAAGCGTTAGATAAAGTGAGACTCTAATAGATCAGAATGTCCCGACACGGAAATCAGAAATATAATTTTGAATAATTTTGGGAGGTAGGGAATCGCACAATTTTGTAATTCCAATGCTGCCCTTTGTGTTTTATCAACGTTATACAACGATGCAAACAAAACAGATCGTATTTAAATCTTATTCTAATTTTAATTCCTACATGAAATCTCAGCCCCCCCCCCCCAAACACTAGTAACATTTTAAAGACTTTATCTAATTCAAACAATCAAATCAAATCAAAATTAAAACATGCAAACAGGTATATCTGCTTATGGAGGAATATCCGAAGAAATGTGTGACGCTGGTTTTCAGTCCTTAATCGCCGCTTAATACCTGAAAAGCAACTTATCTGCTTATTATAAGTTATCAAATAATTTAACAATTAAACAGAAACAATGCATGCCAAACATTTATCTATAATTGTTATATTATGGTTATTTTATAGTTTGCACTTGTATCGAGCAACTGTGTATCGGGCTGTGTATACGGGCCCTTTCTCAAACCCAATATGGGATTTAACACGTCACTTGAGGCAAGATTCATAAACTATATCTCCACGGGCTATAATTTGAAGAACGCCACTGACGGATCTGTCCCTTTTGGATGGGCCGTATTGTTCTTGTGTGTATCTTACCCACGGGAACCTACAAAACAGATATAATTGCATTGTGAAAAGGAAGTCCCGTCTCTATAAAACTTCCTAGAATAAGATTCAAGCAGTGTAAACATCCATATTTGCAAAAATAACGATAAACCACTGTCATTAAGTAGTTGTAGTACCATATTCGTATAGCTTTTGGGAAAGACGATAAAACGCAAAATATGATTGGAATATTTGCTGAAGTCTGGGATCGATGATCTGACAGAAAATTTAAGGAAGGCGTTGATCATGACTGAGCAAAATGAAAGAGCAAAGTAATAATAATTGCAATTTATGTTTATCATTTCAACTATTCCGAGTCAGAGAAATCAAGAATAAAAATGAAACTTTCCTTAGATATCTGTCGTATTGGCTTTACCGGGAAGGCTAGTTCTGGGGGGGGGGGTAGCGCTTGTTTAAATTTTAAATTATTAAGATCAAAATGGTAAGGTCATATTGACGAATTTCCAAAATGACAAATTATTGTGCAGTGCGTTAAATTGGAATATCTTTTGATTCTTTTCCACTGGGGTACGCTAATATCCGATCTTAGTACTTCAATATTTTTGTTTGAAAGCAAGATCTTTAATGTAAACATCCGCATTTCAATATATCCTGAGACTATCATAGAATAATTCTGTGAATCCCAAGCACAACCCATTACAATATCAGTCTATAAGTCAATCTGTATTACAACAAATGAATAATAATCCCGAAAACAGTTCAACTATATTTGGCTTTGACTTATTTGTTTGAGAGGGATACGAAATCTAGGAATAAAAGTCACCGACGGTCCAACTTCAACGAACAATCTACATGTACAGACTTATCTTACTAATTTAAATAATTATTTGTCCTCATCGTGATTTGCCCGTCTGATTATACAGGTTTTACTTTCAATTTAGCCTCACTCAGACACACAAATAAAATGTAAAATTATAACATCATATTATAAAAACATTATCCAACCTCGAATTAACACTAATGAACACGATGTGATGACTTTATTACTATCTATGAGGAACCATTAAACAATTATGAACGAAATCCAGATACGTACAGTTTATTCATGAATTTGGAATATAATGTCGCAATTCATTCTAAATATCTGTTAAATATCGAATCTCTTACATTACGAATCTCTTATTAAAATATATTCTATTTATACAATATTGTTTTTCCCGTCATCCGTGATTTCCACATGTTGATTGTATTCTATTTTATCAAATGATCGGAAAGTAATACCATGAAATGAGTAGCATTAGACATGTTAGATTATACGCCCTTGAATTACACTTATAAACACGATGTGACGATTGTTTCATTTACTTAGAGGAACGCATTAACAGATTAATCAATTATGAACGAAATCCAGATACGTACGATGTAAGGATTCATATAGAAGGTAGTTTGCAAATGAATCCTGCCTTCAGGAAGGCAGGATTCATTTGTAAACTATATTGCATATGAATCCTGTATGATTCCTGGAGGCTGGATTCATTTGTAAACTATATTGCATATGAATCCTGTATGATTCCTGAAGGCAGGATTCATTTGCAAACTACCTTCTATATGAATCCTGTACGAATCCTGAAGGCTGGATTCATTTGTAAACTATATTGCATATGAATCCTGTATGATTCCTGAAGGCAGGATTCATTTGCAAACTACCTTCTATATGAATCCTGTACGAATCCTGAAGGCTGGATTCATTTGTAAACTATATTGCATATGAATCCTGTATGATTCCTGAAGGCAGGATTCATTTGCAAACTACCTTCTATATGAATCCTGTACGAATCCCGAAGGCTGGATTCATTTGTAAACTATATTGCATATGAATCCTGTATGATTCCTGAAGGCAGGATTCATTTGCAAACTACCTTCTATATGAATCCTGTACGAATCCTGAAGGCTGGATTCATTTGTAAACTATATTGCATATGAATCCTGTATGATTCCTGAAGGCAGGATTCATTTGTAAACTATTTAAACAGCGAATCCTGTATGAATCCTGGAGGCAGGATTCATACAGGATTCATATGTGCATATGAATCCTGTATGAATCCTGACTCCAGGATTCAGTGGTTTGATTCACATTTTTTGCTGTGATTCTTTTACTTTCTTGGAATCCACCTTCATTTTTGTTTAATTACTGACAAGTTTGATCCAACTCTGACAACCTAATACTTAATCACGCTTCGTACAAAAAAACTATTTTTACAAATATTTCATATATTTTGCGCGTTGTTACACCTGCTCCACCTACCCTACCCCTAGGTTACTATAGCAACCATATTATTAAGACTACTGAACTTCACGATATAAAACTTTACCAACTTATTCAAAACATGTTTGGAAACATTGTGTCAAAAATTCAGTTAGATTGAAAAGGAAACCAATAAAACACAGCATCATTCCTGAAACATATGGAACACCCTGTATATCTTATTTATCTCTAGCTTTGAATTTTGAAGAATTATCTCTTACATTCTTTCATTAGAATCCCATAGAAGTCATACATGTACAACACTAGATTCTGTAACTTCTGTTACTTCTCAACACCAGTGCATAGTATTTGCTTTTACACATTATATTTTGCGAAAATGTGATTTTGTGAAATAAAAAGATTACTTCAAAACGAGGCAAAAATACGAGCCGGTGTAAAGAACCAGTACTGACCCATATCGGTTATTCTAAATGAAGATGGAGAATCATTGGTATCATACTAATTGCAATACAATGATGTAGCACCAATACCTTCAATTTCATCATCTTTAATATTGTTTGGATCTTCTGGCTCCTTGGTAAACATAACAAATGGATTCTCTTCCTTAGTTACAATTATTAAATGTTTACTGGCAAGGTCACTGACGTAATCAGTGACGGTGTGTTTGTTGCCATGGAAAGTTATATCTGCTTTATTTGTAAATGTCAACCTATTGACACTGTCCCAACTGCCCACCTGGAGTATATAGAAAACATAGAGTGCGATGATGTGACACGTTCCAGAAACAAAGGTTAATTAGTGTGTAACCAAACTTAAAAATATTCCGAACAGTTATCAAGGGTATACAACTAAAACGCTCTGAATCAATGGAATATGAAATACGTTTATTTTCTTTGAAACCAAGATGAATAGGACCGTATACTATTATCAAAGAAATTATATAAAATATGTGGAACTGTTTTTCCGATTGATGTAAGTAATTGAATTAAGATGAATCAAATGCTTACATAAGTTGCCGTTAATGAGTCATATCACACATAGAAACATTGTATCTATTGGTATGGTCCCAAAGTCTATTGAATTATTTGTCACACAAATTGTTAGTGTTGGTACCTTATGCCACCCATCCTCTTTCAAGTTGACAATATCAAACACTGGCATCTCCGGTTCAATTCTCGACTGTTTGAAGTCGATTCTGTTATTGACACCGTCACCATCAATGCTGGATATATAACGTAACATAGTACTTCCATCATTCCAAACCTGGTTGGCGTGGCACTTAACAGACGTTTGGGTCACTCCAGCGTTGGCGGGATCGCTGTACATGCTTTGTACGGCGTAGCTAAACGCTAATACGGCATCAACAATCAGCCCACTGTATGCCTAGAAAGTTTGAAAAACCGCATACTCTTAATATCACGTGAAAACACAGCTGAAATTGAAAATTGTGATTTTCATGCATTTTAGGTTACATGATAAAAAATAAGGATACATACAGCACACCACACAAACATGAAAATCAATGATGACACACTTCATCAAAATAAATCTCAGATGTCATAAATACATTACTCATCATTGTTGTTGTGTTAATACTTAAGTGATCTGATTATTCAGGTTGTCAAAACTCCCGTCGGCTTCTATTAACAAAGGTGTACAGTGTATATGACATGTGAAAAAAATGTTTGATAGTATCAATCATTTGATTTTCCTAAAACTACATCGAAATCTTACACTAAGTTCCGACCCATGTCCTGCCCCTGGATATTGTAGGGGATCAAGAGCCTTCCACTCGGAGTAGAAGTTGTCGTAGAGGGAGCCACGACCTACAGCAGGCTTTGTCCCGAGAATGCCCAGGTATTGGTCTGAGACAGGATTCGTGGACAGATCACTCTGAAAGTATCAATCTACATTTTATACACACAAGCTTTGTTTGCTATAGAAGGGGTTATATGCCGTTTAGGTTTCTAGTTTATAGTCCATTCTCAGAACGCCAGTGTCCGAATTATAGCATTCCTCTTCCGATGGGAAGAAATGGGTTCTGGATCTAGATTTTCCGATTTTAGAGGATGTTGTCAGTCACGTTTGTTATGAATAAAAATAATCACATTTCCAAGGCATTAAATATCCAATTGCAATTACTTAACCACAATAACAGATGATTAATAGTGTTCGCAAGAACTACTAGGATTACATAACTGCTTTATCCTATACCAAGTAGAGTTTTCTAATTTTCTTTCAATTCTTTTAATTTTTTTAATTTTTTCACATTTTTAAAACAAAAATTTAAATTTAAAAAAAAATTTCAATCTTTTTTCTATTTTCTATTTTTTATTTTTTCAAATTTTTTCGAAGCGGGAAGATATGCCCTGGAGCGGGAAATATGGAGGTTCAGGATATGGAAACCTCAAAATCAGGATACGGGATATATCTTACCAACTTATCTCCCTAAACACTACTTGGCATAGGATAAACACACTTATTTGAGTCCTCCCATCAAACATTGTAGATACAAATAAAGGACACATATTTGTTGCACTCTTGATTATACTTTAGGAATGTGATGTAAAACGTGGGGCTTCCTTGGTTATTCACGTTAAGTTAAAAACGTTATCCACACAATTATAAAAGTTTAAAACAATCGGGTAAAGTTAATTTAGGCATTACTTGAAGTACAAATAAATACATTCTCAAAATCGGAGTCATTTTGTCTGGCCATAAAACTTGGTCATGGTCAGAAATGGTAAGAAGATTGTCTTGAAGACACCAAAGTAATAGAATTATACGTATGTTTGCTTCATAAAGAACATCCTGCAAAATATGTAAAAACGATTCATTAGCAATCAGAATATCTTTGCCACATCCCGAGATGAGCCGCGGACTTGTAATAATGGTTCCATAAAAACGGAGTGGGGTGGCAGACATTAGTTTAGGGTACAAGGGATTTGTTTTGGTTGTGTTGTCTTAGGTGTTTTCCTTTTGTTACTTCTGCTTAATTACATACTTATTTTTTATTTCAATCCAGGTGAAATGTTGCTAGACTTCAATAAGCATGTATGATTATTATAGTGTCTGTTTACACAGTATATTTTTAGTAATTATTGATCAATGTACACTGGCAGCCCCTTCTCAGGGGCAAACAGTCATAGTTTGATAATCTAAATGAATATCAAAGCATTCTAAATACTACAGATGTCAGTAGTATAGTGTGCGTATTTCATGGTTCCGTCCTATAGGACCCGATGATGAAATCTGATGAAATATGGGATTCCCCAACGTTTCTCGATCGTACCCGAACGTAATACGGGATTCCCTAACGTTTCCCGAACGTTTGACTTCCGTGGATGACTGATTGGTCTTTTAGACGTCGGTGTTCCGTGGATGATTGATACTCTCCGATCGTTCGGTTGACTTTCGGAGACAATTGATAAGATAATAAAACCAAATGACAAATGATTAATCTGTTACCTATTACCTCTATAAAAAGTGACTATATAGCCTAGATTATAAAATACAAAATGAATAGAGGTTTGGCACTCATTACAATGAATATGGAAATAGATAGAAACGTTGTTAATACATATTTGTTCTTTGTTTGCCTAGTATGGGAATACCATCACAGCAAGAAATCTGTATGTCACAAACCAACATCCTACCAACGTTTCTCGAACGTATTCTCCGACGCCGGGTGAAATACAAGATTTCCTACACCCCCACAGTTCCAACGCCCCCATCCCTGGTCTTATAGGACCTACTGGATGATAATGTTCAACGTTTCTCGAACGTATTCTCCAATGCTGGATGAGATATATACGAGATTTCCTACACCCCCACACGTCCGTAACCCCGACAAACTATGGACTTTACTTTCTACATTCCAAAATTAGTCAATGGAACAAAGTCGTAAAGCTAGGCATGCAAAATCCTCTGTCATTTTTAAAGAAATAATAGGATACTTTTGCTTTGATTTTGAATAGGCAAATCGTTTGAAATGCGTTTCAGAGTATTCGATTCCTCATGTATTCTCTAAACCAACATGAACTATTTGATCATTCTTGACATATATTTTAAGATTAATTACTCAAATGTAACTATTTATTGCCCAGTTCTCAGTTTAGTCAGACAACAAAATCATTAAAATAAGTATATTCTTACAACTAAGGGACAACAATGTGTCATAAAGTTCTAAAAAAGGACATTTTATAAAAAATAAAGAATTCTTAAGGAAGTGGCGAGACAATTCTTTCACAGATGACTACTTTAAGATGTATTGTTGTTAAGTCTCGACACAATGGAAGATACTTACTAAACTTCTACAAGCAAAAGTCAGCGTTTCTACGTGAAATGCAGTGAAATCCCTAAAGTGAAATGGATATTTCTACATTAAACGACACGGGAAATGACAGCAAGATATTGAAAATATAGATAGTTCTACGTGTACATGTATACACTAAATATTGTCTTTTGTTTTTCTTAGCGTAGTACGGGGAATACCATCACAACAGGAAATCCAGAGGTCAAAGTAACCCTCGTAAACATAATACCACAGCCTACGTCACTCAATGTCTATCCTGGCTGTTTACGGGTTAGATAAATCGTTTTGCCTGTACATATTTTACGATATGAGAATACTTCATTTTGTTTTAACAATTTTTTTACCCTTGCAAACATTTTCAATTTTACATTTCATTTTTCACTTATTTCAGCATATTTAGTCCATATATAGACTTTATGATGTCAGCGCACTACATATGTGTCCAACAAATATTTTACCTTTGCAAAGATTTTCAATTATATTTTTCATTTATTTCAGCATCCTTAACCCATATAAAGACTATAAGATGTCCATACACTTCATTTTTGCATCATAATATTTTACCATCGCAAAAAGTTTCAATTTTACTTTTCATTTTTCACTTATTTCAGCATCCTTAACCCATATGAATACTATACGATGTCAACACACTTCATTTTCGTATAATAAAATTTTTACCCTTGCAAATATTTTCAATTTTATTGTTTCATTTTCACTTATTTCAGCATCTTTAGTCGATCTTAAGACCATAAGATGTCAGAACACTTCATTTTTGCACAGCAAACTTTTTACCCTTTCAAAAATTTTCAATTGTATTTCTAATTTTGAACTAGCATGTTCGCTATTGTACAATAGCATGTTCACTATTGTTCAGTAGCATGTCCACTATTATTCTATAGCATGTTCACCATTGTTCAGTAGCATGTTCACTATTATTCAGTAGCATGTTCACTATTGTTCAGTAGCATGTCCACTATTATTCAGTAGCATATTCACCATTGATCAGTAGCATGTTCACTAATGTTCAGTAGCATGTTCACTATTGTTTAGCAGCATGTTCACCATTGTTCAGTAGCATGTTCACTAATGTTCCGTAGCATGTTCACTATTGTTTAATAGCATGTTCACTATTGTTCAGTAGCATGTTCACTATTGTTCAGTAGCATGTTCACTAATGTTCAGTAGCATGTCCACTTTTATTCAGTAGCATGTTTACCATTGTTCAGTAGCATGTTCACTAATGTTCGGAAGCATGTTTACTATTGTTTAGTAGCATGTTCACTATTATTCACTAGTATGCTCACTATTGTGTACTAATGTTCAGTAGCATGTTCACTAATGTTCAGTAGCATGTTCACTTATGGTCAGTAGCATGTTCACTATGTGTGCTACATATTCAGAGATGTTCACCAAATTGATGTTTTGCATTATTTATTATTTAATAGTGATACTTTGAAAATATTAGCATTTAACTATTAGTAATAGAGAAGTCAACATGCCTCATAGTTCTTCCTATTCATGCGAGTGTGGGAAGACATTCAGTCATGCAACCAGCATGTATCGTCATAAGAGAATAGATCACGGACCTAAAAAACGTATCATGGCGCCATCTTGCGAACGGCATCATGGGGGATTTTATTCAATGACAAACTCGGCAGCTAACCCATGCAATGGTGATAGGACAAAGATGCTTCACCATCCCTTTACGATGATGGTGGTTGGTCCAACAGGTTCGGGCAAGTCTACCTATGTCAGAGAACTCATAGAAAATATGGAGAAAAAGATAACCCCTCCCCCACAACGGATAATTTGGTGCTTCGGACAGTGGCAGCCCATGTACGTCGAAATAAAGACCCGCTTTCAAAATATAGAATTTATCATGGGAATTCCAGAGTCATTGGGTGACCAAAGTTTCCTGGATGTCAATGTTAGAAATCTAATCATTTTCGACGATCTAATGGCTGATATGACTAAAGATAAGCGAATCTCTGAGCTCTACACTAAGGGTTCTCACCATAGAAATTTGAGTGTCATCTGTCTGATGCAGAATCTATTTCATCATGGTCGTGAAAGCAGAACTATGAGCCTAAACTGCCACTACATAGTGTTGTATAAAAATCCTAGGGATCGCCAACAGGTGGCCGTATTAGCCCATCAGATGTATCCTGGAAATTCGAAGAAATTATTGGATGCTTACGAAAAGGCTACTCAACACCCATATGGACATCTATTGGTTGATCTGAAACAAGAAACTCCTGAAAATATGAGATTGTACGATGTTGCTGCAGCTACTATTGAACAACCAATAGGCGTATCTCCGGCACTTTATTCTCACGGCAAAGAGGACCAAACACCAATATATAGCACAATACCGTGTAATAGCGTGGATATAAGTAGAGGCGTAAATTTAAATCAAGAACCATTCGATAATATCAACCGAGCAAACTACAGTACAACACCCATCGCTGCAGAATCAAAGATGAATCCTGATCCGAGGATGTACTATATGGCGAATCCAACCATGTACAACACAATGAATCCAAGTATTGGTTACACGATGAACAATCAACCTAACATA